ACTTACTTCTGGGCCTTTTGGCTAAGATCAAGTGTGAGAACATTAACTTACTGAGGGCCAGATTGTACCAAGAACAATAGTTGCACTTGGCATTTTGGATTTGAGTCCCGAGACTCTGAAAGACACTTAACCTAATATTGTCTTATCATCTCTTGAAAGAGTGAGCAGCGACACAAACAGAGAGACCTTCCTGGCAAATTCTCATTTTACAAGGGCTTACAACAGCCAGAGATGGGCCAGGCCAAGCCAGTTTTTTGAAATCCCATCTGAGCCTTCCAAGTGGTGTCAGTGAGCCAAGTATATGAACCAATATTTGGTACTTCCTTAGATGAACATTAGCAGGCCTCCGGAACAGAAGCTGAGTTACTGGGACTCAAACCAGGTGTCTGACATGGACTGGGAGCGCCCAAGTAATCACTTGTGTGCTGCATCAAATATCCAGCTCCAGAATGAAATAATTTCCAGCAGTATTTAGTCCACTTAGAATTCTTATTCTACTAATCTTATAAGTCCATCTCTAAAAAATGATGGCTTAGAGGTAAATAAATATGCATAACTTATTTTATAGCATTCACAGCTTAGCTTACTCATTTAATTCACTTGACAATGATCTCTTAGCTTCTAATTCTTCTTGACAGAATCGTTTATATTTTTCCAATTCTGTACTAGTAGCATCTTGAGCAGTTTTCATTTTAGAGAGTTCAAATTCTAGATCATTAGTTTTTACTTCCATGTGACTCCTTATGGTAGAATCATTATTCTCTCTTAACTGATTTATATTTTCCTGAGATGCTGACTGTGCCTAAATAAAATCAGAAAAATATGCCTTAAGATAATTACACTCTGGATAATCTGTTGCATATTTGTTTCTTCATTTTTCACTCAGTGATTCTGAGAACAGTCTTATAGATGTGAACAATAGATAACATCTAAAATATTTATCTTTACTATACACTGAAGTAATTTTGAGCTACAATAAAACCTGAACTCCTCCTGCTAGTGCTCATTTGATTTTATAATTCAGAGAATAAAATTTAATTAATAATTTAAAAACTGAATAGTGTCACATAAGAGCAACGATTTCTAAATACTGTCTGATTTTATGCCAACTAATCCTAATAATCAAATGAAAATTATAATTTAGAAAGATCAGCTTGGTTCTGATAATTATGAGACTTAAATAGTTAAAATCACTAACATGCTGCTTCTCTTCTAGAAATCTACAAAATATTATAAAGAAAATATGGGAAATGCACACAATATCCTCAGGTATATCCAAATCATAAGTTTCAATGAACAAATTGGACACACTATGAATATATAATTCACCTGTAAAAACAGATTGACTTCTTTTAATCTGTATACAATGTACTGCCTTGCTTTTTCTTCAACCTCCTGTTTATACAACACTATTTGACCATGTTCTGTCATATTCATTTGTATATAACTTCTCAAGTTTACTACTGTCTGTTTCAATTGATTTTTTTCTTCTTTCAGTTTTTTATATTTCTTTTCAATTACTTTCAAAGATATCAACTGTTGTTGAAGAGCTTCATTCATTGTATACAGATGTTGAAATTTTGAAGATGCAGTATCCAATTTTGTTCTAAGATCATCAGTCTGCATTAATAAAATAATATAGTATAGTAATGGAAAAATTAAGCTGAGTCAGTATATTACAAAAATGGTGATACATTTTGAAATAAATCCAAAGACAGTAAAATACATTCTATAAATTCATATAGTAACCATGAGCTACTTATTCAAAATATCAGCAAAGCAAAAACCACCAAGAATCACAAAATGTATTCTTTTTTCTCATTGTATCTGTCATGTTTCCTTTGTGTTTGATCTTAAATTTTTATTTCCTATCATTGTTTCAGGTCTTTCTCATTTAAGATGATTCTAAGTCACACTTAAAAAGGGGTAGAGGGGATAGCACTGTGGTACATCTGGCTAAGCTGATGCCTGAGATTGCTAACATCCTATACGGACACCAGGCTGGGGTCTTGCCTGATCTTCTTCCAATCAGGCTCCCTGTTAATGTGTCTGGAAAAACAGTGAAGATTGCTCAAATCTTTTGGCCCTGGCATCCACGTGGGAGACCCAGATAAAGTTACAGGCTCCAGGTCTGGTACAGCACCAGCCAGACCCTTTAGGAAGCAAACCACAGGATAGAAGATATCTCTGTGTGTTTCCCCTTCTGTCTGTAGCTCTGCCTTTCAAAGCAATACATAAACCTTTAAATAAAGAAAAAACATCTACTGCTTATACTAATATCACAACAATATCAGAACTGATGAGAATTGTGCTATAATAATCACACATCTGCTCTGAGAATCTAATGGATTAATGGATTCTTGTAACCTGTGTAATCTACACAAAATGTTTTACTCCTTCCTTTCTAATACCTTCATTCACCCATTCACCATATTCTAAAAAAGATGTTTTAGGGATTTTGTATTATTTTAAGTTGCTGTCAATAAATGGTTCCCTGAATAAGACTGAAAAACGCTAGATCTTGCGAGTAGAGACTCTAATGGCATAAGCCTTTCTCTGGACTGCAATTGACTACACCCCAGAATGAATACAATGACTGGACTGGCCTAGTCCAAAGCCTGGAGCTTCTTACAGATCCCCCAGGTGGGTACAGGATCCCAAGGATTGGAAACATCCTATGCTGTTTTCCCAGGCCATAATCAATAAGCTGGATTGGAAGTACAGCAGCTGGTACTAAAACCGGTGCACATGTAGGATGGTGGAACAGCAGGCAGAGGCCTAATTTACCACACCACAACACTGAATTCCATTTGAAACAGTAATCACTCTTGAGGAAAATGATCTATTACATTTTCTGGTGGATATAAGATGTAACATGATCCCTATGTTCTCTAATAAGTAATATTAATAATGCAGTTTTGTAGCATTTTGAAACTTCTCACAAAATAAGGAATTCTGCTACACAAGAACAAGAAAAAAGCATTGTTAGAGCATCATTTCTCTGGAATCAGGAAGAGCTAATTTCCTGCAGACCAAATTATTACTGAATTTTAGAAAGGCCAGTAGAATGCTGGATTCAGAACATGTCTACAACTTTTCTGATATTTCTCCTATTAAATATCCTCCCCTTAACATAAACTGGCCTCAGTAAATAGAATATTACAGAACTTCTCTGTGACCTTTTAATGTTACCAAATACGATGCAGTACCCAAATATAGAAGTTCATGTTTATAGCCCAACAATCATTTTGTGATAACCAACAAGCCTCAAGGCAAATAATCAGCCAAAAGCCAGTTTCAACTATCAAATATATGAATAAGTGTTTATATTATTTCTAATCCCCAATTTTAAATCACTGCAGATGATGTCAAGTGAGAAGAAATTAGTGGTTCACTGAGTCTGGTTGAAATTACAGATTGCACACTAAGTCAAACACAAAGAGTTCCCACCTGCTAAATATCCCCAGGAGCTGGGGAGAGCCAGGAACCAGAGCTCAGTCCTTGTTCCCCATATAGGTGGCAAGGACTTAAGCACTGGATCCACCATCTGCCAGGGCCATCACTGGCAGAAAGACGGAATTAGGATCCAGAGCCAGAGCTGCCTACAGCCATCAAGTCCAAGCATTCTTCCCTTAGACTGAGGTGCCTTCACCCTTCACTACTGGGCTATTCCTGCCCAGGAACTGGGAATTTTGAAATGTTTCTCTATAATGTGAGAAAAAAAAATCTAGCACAGATCCTGATACTAAATATGAGGAGTTGCCACTTAAACTGATTTAATTTAGTGTTTACATACAGTCTCTTAATCTTATTTTTCAAGGATTTATATACTATTAAGAGTGAATTTTACAGAGAAGGAAAGACAGAGAGAGAGGTCTTTGCCAAGCTGGTTTACTTCAGCAATGTTCACAATAGCCAGAGCTAAGCTCATCTGAAACCAGAAGCTAGGAACTTCCTCCCTGGTCCACCACATAGGTACAGGAGCCCAAGAACTTGAGACATTCTCTGCTGCTTTCTCAAGCCATAAGCCGAGAACTGGTTTGGTAATAGAACTGTTGGGACATAAACAGGCATCCACATGGAGTGCCAGCACCAGTGAGCAGAGGATTGGCATGCCACACCACCATCTTAATTTTTGCAAAGGAAAGCAAGAGTGGACAATCCTGTTTAGTCAATTACATAATTATGTAGTTTCCACTATGCATCTAGAAATAGGTATTATGGATTACACACACACTTTACAATATTTTGTAAGATTTGACGATGCCCTTCAAAGGCTTATAAACACATATTCATGGAAAGTTAGTTTCCAAACATATAATGCTAACAGCATTATGTTCCTGGTAATATGTGCTTGGGGAATCATCTCTGCTTATTCATTAATCTCTCCTTCTCTCCTAAATTCCCATTATTGAAAAAATCTTGTATAATCACCTAGTTTCCATTATTGACAGGATCATAGCATAAAAGTATTTCAATCACACAATCTCATAGAAAGCATTTTAGACTTTCAGGAAAAAAAAATATTTGAAAATACAAATATTACCAAGGATTTAAACAAAAAGTTTTGTATCATTGCTCACAGCAACATATTCATAGAAATCAAAGGGAAATGTTCACAAGTGGATGAGCAAAACTATAAAATATATGAAATGTTATTTTTAGACTACCATGACTTTTAAAATGTTACTATCAAAATAAGTCTATGAATCCAGTTGATTTCTTTTTAAAACAAGAAGTTAAACACTAAGAGTGCCAAGAATATGAATGTAAATTAAAAAAAATTGTATTAGAAACACTTTACATTCCTAAAACATCTTATACAAAACTGTGACAGACATAAACTTTTATGATTGACTTACTGAACTTGAACTTAACAGGTTTTGCTGAATCTCTTTTATTTTGTCTGATTGCTCTTTGATTGTAAGTTTTAACTGCAAATTTTCACTTTCAAGGCTGAAACATATATTTTAATTATTTTCATATGTAAATACAAACCCAACCACATAAATTATTAACATCTAAGACATAATTTACATTCATCCTTGAATGATTTAAAAGTAAATAATTCAGTAACTACCATTTTTCAATGTGTTTTCTGGATAAGCACAAATATAGGGATAACATAGAACATTTGCATTTTAAAATGGTTTAAGGCTGAAAATTTTCTCTGGTTTCACTGATACCACTCCAATCCTACACTCATCCTCTTTGTAAATATTCAAGCTATTTGGTGTGCTAGTTTCAACTGTACTTCTCCAAGTAGTCCTGCTTCTTCATGGTTTCTTGTACAGCATTGTGATTCTGGACTTCTTGCAGCTGAAACAAAGAGGACAACGGAAGAATTTTATTAATCATTTTATACAACTCTGCTCATGGCTTGCATTCTTCATTAAAATGCGCTTAAATTTTGGCCATACAATGTGATCTGCATGTTGCTTAGGGCTGTGTTACACTCTTACTGCTGAGCTGAGCTTTTCTACCAGTGATCTTCTGGCACAGAAGAATTTAAAATAATATTCTCTGGTCCTCCACAGTAACATCAATAACCCTTTTTTAGGTTCAAGAGCCTGGCTTTTAAATTAGACATTATCAGATAATTATATAAAAGTGATCAACTGGACACATATTAGAAATCATGTTGTATGATAAGCAATTCTATTTTTAGAATATCAAATGTGCCATATTAAGCATAGATTTTAAAAACTGACTTAAGTGAATAATGATGACTTTGCTAGGAATTTTTAAAATTAACCTAATATTTTAGATGACAAATTGTTTAATTAACCAGTGTCTGCATAGAAGCCAGAATGCCACGCAATGAACCTCAGATCTACCAATTACCAACTGTATGATCACACACAAATGAACTTCCTATGTCTCTGGATCTTTAGTTGTGTACTGGAGATAAGAATAATATCCACCAAATCAAATTAAAGGGAAAGTAAGTTTGTGAGTAAAGGTAGAGTACTTAGCCGAGTGTCTGGTGCATAGTGAGCCGTATTTCCTACTTCCAATATTATTGTTTTCATGTTCTTGCTCATTTTGACATTTTGCTTAGATGGCATGGCAGAAAACTGATCCCATACAAGCTTCACTGATTTGTTTTTCACATTATTGAAATTGGCAACACAAGGGGCATGCAGCGCAAGACACATCCCCAATACATCAATAAAACTTGCACCTGTTCTATGAGACAGTGATATCCTTTCCAGTTACATCAGCATTCCCAAATAAACTCCTGGCAACTATATGGAGTTGTTGAAGCAAGCACTCAGATGAGTGGATCAATGTTACATGATATGGCATATCAGAAAAGATATAGTTAGGGTCCATGTACTTGTTATAAACCTCATTTATAATGAATATAAACTTCAGTATAAACTGAAATAAAATTTTAATATTTTTTGATTGAAAACATGAATATTTGAAAGAAAACTATCTTCTTGGTTTAGGTGCTTTTAATTTCACATTAAAAATAGAAGTGCTTAAAATGCACTCAGAAAATTAAAGCTTTAAATTTTATATTAATGTATATGTGTCAAAGAAGATACATTTCAGTAAATTTCTCACAAAAATAGTTCACATGTTAACTGCATAGATTACAACTAAAAAGAGGAAGAAAGGTTTTTTAATATAGGCAGATGGGCTGGCACTGTGGCACAATAAATGAGTTAAGCTGCTGTCTAAGACGTCAGCATTCCATATTGGAGTGTAACCTCTAATCGCAGCTGTTCTGTTTCTGATACAGTTAACTGCCAATGTGCCCGGGAAGGCGATGGAGCTTGGCTCAAACACTTGGGCCTCTGTCATTCATGTGGGAGATTCAGATAAGAGTTCCAGGCTCCTGGCTTCAGTGTAGACCAGCTCCGGGTATTGTGAACATTGAGATAGTGAATCAGTAGTTCAAAGATCTCTATTTCTATCCTTCTCTATTATTCTGTCATGCAAAGCAGGTAGGTAGGGAATATGCAATTATATGTCATTGTAGAATATTTGACTAGTTTCACATGTCTCAAAGTTAGAACGTTTGAATTTTAATATAGAAGTGTCAGAACTAGTTTTTAAATTCAACTTGTTTTCCATTGCGTTATTCTTAAAACATGTACTAAGTATTATCAGTGCCAGATTTACAATAAATAACTCTCAGCTATACGTTTTATAATATAAGATTATATATATTGTTTGTTTTAAATCTAAATAATACATTCCAAATAAGGGGCTAGTGTAAGTAACAATAAATACAGTGAGAAATATCAGCTTGTACAAAAGATTCATCTACCTGATTCAAATTACTTCTTACAATCTTCAATTCCATTTCTCGTGCTCTCAGGGTAAGCTCAAGTCGTCCTTTCTCTTCAACTTCTTTATTATATTGCTTTTCTTTTCTTTTTAACTCTTCCCTAATTTTTTCACACAATATATTGGCATTTCTTCTCTCCTCTTTTTCTTTCTTCAATGTAAATCTGTAGGTATATAAGAATATCTCAAAATTAAATATATTGGAAAATAAAAAGTTCATTTCATGATTAGGTTTGTTATCCTAATTTCTGTGCTGTGAAGTATTTTTCTTCTAATTTGCACATTTTTAATTTCTCATTTTATCCCTCCCCATACAACAGATATACTTGAAAAGTAGTGATGAAGGAACATTCTAATAACTGACAAATTTCTTTTATTAGTATCTGAGGTGTATGTTAATTTTAAATGATTTAGCCAAGTTACAAATTAAAAATTGCCTTGTAAAAACAGTATTGTTTAATTAAAACAAAATTTAGCTTTCACTAACTTTAATGTTAGCACTTATATAATATTTCCATAACGTATTTCAAGAATCTTTGAAAATGATTCACAGCAGAAGGTAGCACCATCCAGTATCTTCACACAATGTATCTTCAGAGCACAGTAATCCGTGAATAGAAAATAAAGTATCTGTTACTGTACACATTTTTCATTGCTCTTTTGGTGATAATTGTTGTGTTGAATAATTGTTCTTGTTGGATATTTTAACCTTTTTTTATTCATTTTAGTTTGCTTGAGTTTCAGCGAGAGGAGACTTGACAAGAACAGATAAATCTTGCATGCACTGGTTCACTCCCCAAATGAACTTTAGAGATGACCTCTGAGGCTAGGGGACAAAAGTTTCTTCCAGGTCACTCTCATACGGGTTCAGGCTCCCAAGGACTTGGATAATTCTCTGCTACCTTCTCAGACCATTAGCATGGAGTTGGATTCGAAGAGCAGCAGCCAGTACCCCACCCAGTAGCCACACGGGACACCAGAGCTACATGTGAAGGATTAGACCAATAGCCCACCAGGCCGGCCAAAAGTATTCTAAGTTTTATAAACAGTTTCAAAAAATTTTGAAGGAAAATATGTAATATAGAGTAATAAAGCTTTTTCAAATATAATAACTTTATTTGTATGTGAAGATTTTCGTTTACTTTTTATTACAATTAAGCATAAAGTAACTTTTAAAAGCATCATGGAATTAGAAAATGGTCACCTCAAACTCTACTGTTCAATTGTAAATGAATATAAACTTTTTTGAGAATGATGCAGGAACATTAGATTTTTTTAAAAGTTTCAATTTGATAAACACATCTATAGAAGAATTTACACAATTAGAGATTTTAAAGATTTATAAAATGATGTTCCTTATTATATTAGCACTATTTTCATAAAGTGGAACCAGTGATGGTTCAAATGGCTAATCTTCTGTCTTACAGTGCTGACATTCCATAAGGATGCCAGTTCATATCCCGGCTGCTTCATGTCTGATCTAGTTTCCTGTTTATGGCCTGGGAAAGTAATGGAGGACAGCCTGAAGCCTTAGGACCCTGCACCCATGAAGCAAACCTGGAAGAGGCTCCTGGCTTGGGAATGTTTCAGTTCTGGCTTTTAAGGCCATCTGGAGGGTGAGCCACATGATGGAAATTTTTTCTCTCTGTCTCCTTCTGTAAATCTGTTTTTCCAATAAAATAAATACACCTTTAAAAAAACAGTAAAAATTCAACTTGTTAAGAATGAAATTTCATTTTACAGAAACATGTATAGTCATTCTAATTATGATTTTGAAAAATAAGCATTTATGTATCCGAATTATCCAATTATAAACCTGATATGTACATGTCCTTTCCAAGAATTTCTCATCGCTCATGACTAAAAGGTCCCCTGTATGAAGTATCTGCAGAGATGAAAGGAACTCAAATTCTCCTGAACATTTGTAGCACAAAGTCAATAGTTCAGGGCTGCATTTTATTTAGCAATTAAGGTATCTCTGCCCCTTGCAGGAGTGTCCGGGTTCAATTCCTGCTTCCTGCCAATGCACATTCAGGACATGAGTGCTTATGATTCAGGTAATGCAGGCTGCTCACCACTCATACAAAACGCTCAAATGCTGGCATTGGCCCTTATCCTGCCCCAGGCCTTTACAGGTGTTTGATGAGTTTACCAGACAATCGTGTCTCTCATACAGTCTTTCTCAAATAAATAAGCATGATTTTGAAAACATCATATAGTTTAAATATTTCCTTATGAGTAGAATGACAAACCTCAAACTGCAGCACTTCTGTTCCCATTCCACTGCTTGTTGCTCCAACTGTGATTTCACTTCTCTTAGTTCTGAGAGCTTTTTGTGTAGTCTACACACCTTATTTTCCATATGTTTAGCTTTTCTTATTAGGAGTCTGCAGTGATTTTTTTTAAATTCTATTAATCTTTCATATGCAAGTACCGCATCCTGGATTTTCAATAAACTGACAGAATCTTTTATAAAGAAATAAATATAGAAATAAATTATGATATTTTCCCTATAAACTCTTTAATTGTTTTCATATTTCACTCACTTAGGCACTGAAAAATGTATAGTTCATATCTGCAATGTAATATATTGTGCTGAGCTTTCCAGATAAAAAAGAATATACCTGTTTTTATTTAGCTTACAGTCTATTGGAGGAAATTAATCAATTAACAACTTTGAAATTCTGTAAGAAAGTAGAATTGTATAATCACACTATACATTCTGATCTACACTGGGCCCAGGGCAAATCTTCCTGAGAAAGACATGGCCACACTGTACAATGAAAAATTATACAGACTGAAGCAACTCTCAAAGTGACAAAATCAAGAATTATAGCTAACAATCCTTCACAGAAGAGAAAGACGACAAAATTCTTAAAAGCATAGCATTAATCTAAAACAAGCAAAAAAAAGTTGGGAGAAAAATCAACTAACATAAGGATAGACAAGCTTAATTCTAGGTAATAAAAACTTCAAAATATGTGAGGAAAAATGGACAGAAGTGTAAAGAAAATTTAGAAATATCATCCTGTATTTCAAGATGCCATAATCAATCAGTTACAGAAGATGTAGAGTGAAAATCAACAAGAATATACATTTGAGAGCCATTATTCTTCTCAACTAATCAAGGAATATTTACTATAACAGACTAGATGACATACCATGGAGATATAAATAATAAATTAATCTCAAAGGATTTAATTTGTGCAGAAAATGCTCCCTAATTGTGTGCATATTTGGATCCTGGGGTGTGTGCAGTAGGTGTGGATGACATAAAGATTCGAAGGGAACAGCTCTCCTGTTTGGCAGGGTCCAGGGGCACATCCAGCTGTTTGGGAGGGCCCAGCAGATATCTCTCTGACCACCTTGATGTGGTTTCACCCTCTTTTTGCATGGACACTCAAGCACCCCACTAAGAATTCTGTAATCTATTGAAGCATTGTTGTTTACCCCTGTGAGGTGGCTGCTGTAACTGATGTGAGCTTCAGAGTTAATGTTATTGATAATGTCCTGGTGAGCGGGCCTTTAACTACACACATGAGTACAATTAAGCCCATGCCGTTCCTGGACATCTTCTTGTGTGCCTACACATTGCCCTAGGACCTGGCCCAGACATGTGGCATGCCTTCTGGGAAATGGCTTGATAAGAATCTTACAAAGTAAACCAAGTGAGGGGAGTATGAGTTGAAACTGCTATGGCAAAAAATATAGCTACTGTGATCCTAAAAGTTTAGCCTGCCCTTGCAACTCTTTAGAACATAGAATGTGGCTGTTTTAGCTGCTTTTATAATTTTTTTTAACTAGAGGAATTATAGGGTGATTTTATTAATATCATAGAGATATATGTTTGGTTATTATTTGTTTGTTGGGTATATAACCTGTAATTGTAGAAGGATTTAATATTTGAAATTTTTTTCTTGGATTTTTACGTTTTTTTCCCTTGTAACATATTTTTTCACACTAAACAATGGGCAAGTTTTGGAAATGGAAATGTGGTAGGAATTAGTAAGTATTACTAATTAGTATGTCATTTCAGGTGCCTTGGCCTTGGAGCCCTGGCTGTCACCCAGTGGCTACTACTGAAGAATGAATAATGGCTTGCTTTGAAGAAAATGATTATAGTAACTTACAGAATTGTCTTTAAGAACATCTGGTTGACCATGAAGTAAAACATAAAATAATGAATCTCTGTGCATACCCACATAGTCAGGAAGTTAAAATGGAACAATCAAACAATTGTGCAGAAGCATGTAGTGTGTCTGAGTAAATAAAAAGGACAGCTTTCTCTTGAGCTGTTACAAGAGGGCACCAAGTGATAGTGTCTGTGTCTTTTCTTATTGCCAACTCCACACACCCTTCTCAAGCTCCAAACTCAGCTGGAGCTGGACTCGGGCATTTGGAAATAAAGCAATACATACTGAAATAGCTCTGGGTATTAGAGGTACTGATGAGAGAAATCACAAAACACTTGTTACTGAAGGAATTTTAAAGCACAACAGACTTTGTATAATATAGTTTCAGGAACAGTTAGATTAAGAACCTTTTAGAGCTATCTATACAATACATTCAGAAAGCTTGCATGAAAATTTTAAAATAATGTATTATCTTCGCAATTTAAGCCTACTCAGAAGAATCTCAAACCAATGACCTTCACTTCCACCTTAAAAAACTAAGGAAAAAGAGTACCTTAAATCCAAGAAAAGAAGAAATCCAACATAAACATCTACTGTGTTCTAAAAACAGAATTCAAATGCAGAAATGTCATCACAGAGGTGATGGTACCATTACTGGGTAAGGCCTTAAGGGAGTTAAATTGGATGTGGAAGCATTATAAAAAAGACACCTGGAAGTGTCTTGGTCTTGAACTTGTCTGCTCCCAGAAATGGAAATAAATATATTCTGTTATTCATAAGCTACACACTGTTATGTTATTACAGCAGTCAGGAAAAATTGTGACAACATGAAATCTGAAATTGGTTAAACAGAAAACTGACAACAAACAGCAAAACTCAATGAAATTACATTTAGATTATAAAACTGACAAATGTCTGTCTAGTCAGGCTGACTGTGAAAATAAAATATACAAAGTGTCAACATAAAAAATTAACAATGCAATATTACTGCAAATTCCACAGCTGCTAAAAGAACAATATGATGATATGAAATTTGTGTGTATAAGAAATGACAACTTGCATAAAATAAACAGGTTTCTTGAAAGAAGGGTCATATTGATAAAAGAGATGGTGGGACAAACTTGGGTTGTATAACAAATAGCTGTATCGTCCCTTTTAATTTTGATGAGAAACTAAACCAGCTGTTAAAAAATGAATTCTTGGAGATGACAAGAAGGCCAATCAGGAAAGGCAGGGGTAGTTGAAAGTGCAGAGAGCTTTAAGACAGGAACAAGCGGAGCAGTAACGTGGAAAGGGAGGGTCTCCAGTAGAGAGGACAGAAACTCCCTGGAGTTCACTGGAGGAAGGTGGCTGACACCCAGACAAGGAAAATTTTCTGAGAATTTCCAGGATTGCAGCTAGCAGGCCATAGATGTGAGTGCAGTCAAGATATGGCAAGGCATCCCAAACCACAAGTAAAAGCTTGATGAGTTTTGAACCAGTATGGAGGGAACAGGAAGAGGAAGCCTTCCAACAGGATCCTCATCAAAGAGACAGTGGAGGGACAAAACAATATTATGACAAAACACCAATGAAGAAAGATAAACCTGAGGAGAACCTCCCCCCCCGGGATGCTCAATCAAATACCCTCTTCTGCTCCCCACCCCCAGCAAGGAGGGCTCACCATTGAGGAATGAGCATCTGGGGGGTGAACCATCTGAGAGAGGGATTCACACAATAAGAGCACACAACAGCAGAACCAAGAATCATTACTACTAAAACATCAATTCCCTCTACACTTTTACCTACAGACACAATAAATTTCATCCTGATTCTAAGCTAGACAACAGAATATCATCTTAACTGACAAACTGATTTCAGATTCATGTGGAGGTACAAAGTATATTGAGTCAGCCAAAATACTCCTCCAGAAAGAATAAGATCAGGTGGATGACATCAAGAATTATTATAGAAATATATTTCAATCACAACAAAATGAAAATTATAAGAACACCACAAAAGTCAATGGGACATAACAGAAGGTTCAGATATAGGTGTACATATAAACAATCAACTTATTTTGATTAACCAATAATGATAATTCAGTGAAGAAGGGATAATTATTTAAACATACGGAATAAAATGATTAGATACACACATTCAAATAATGAAATTCGCTTTACATATAAAGTCTTTTGCAAAAAATCAGCATGAAAGTATCATAAACCTAAACGCAGGACTGAGAACTATAATAAGACTTCTAGAAGAAAGTATAGAAGGAAATATTTTCTACCTCATTCTAGGAAAACACTGATACAATAGAAAAAGTAAAACCCACGCTTGAGCACAGACATACTAGACATCATCAAAATTTAAAACTTCTGCTCAAAACAGATTAAGAAAAATGTCAGGACAAAATATCTTTGGAGGGCCCAGTGCAATAGCGCAGCGCTTAAAGTCCTCGCCTTGCATGCACCAAGATCCCATATGGGTACCGGTTCTAATCCCGGCAGACCCGCTTCCCATTCAGCTCCCTGCTTGTGCCTAGGAAAGCAGTCGACGACCACCCAAAACGTTGGGACCCTGCACCCGTGTGGGAGACCCCGAAGAGCTCCTGGTTCCTGGCTTCAGATTGACTCAGCTCCAGCTATTGTGGTCACTTGGGGAGAGAATCACCAGTCGGAAGATCTTCCTCTCTATCGTCTCTCCTCCTCTCTGTATATCAGCTTTACAATAAAATTAAATCTTTAAAAAAAAAGTCTTTGGAAAAAAAAAAAACACTGGGTATCTCTCAACCTATATATTTATCTATCCATTACATATCTAGTGGTTTCTATAATAAAGAAAAAATCTATTTTAAGCCGGTGAAACATTCTGGTTCCTTGAAAAATGCTGATTATTATCAGTGACTATGGAAATTCATAGTAAAAACATATGGTAATTACAACTCATACCCAGTAGAATGGCTAATATTTAAAAAACAGACAATACTATTTGTGAAGATACATGGGGACTGGAATTCTCATAAAATACTGATGAGACTGGACAGTGATGCCAACAGTTTGAAAAATAATCAGCAGTCTTTTATTAAATCACACAGAAGGACATAGACACATTTGGGGGATGATGGTTCTGTTAAATATCTTACTCATGAGGCTACTTAAAAATTCAGTTTCTCGGGCCCGACATGGTGACCTAGTGGTTAAAGTCCTCACCTTGAACACACTGCAATCCCATATGGGTAACGGTTCTAATCCCAGCAGCTCCACTTCCCATCCAGCTCCCTGCTTGTGGCCTGGGAAAGCAGTCGAGGACAGCCCAAAGCCTTGGGACCCTGCATCCGCATGGCAGACC